GAGATGGCCAGAGACTGCATAACTGATACAGGGGATGGTCAGAGACTGCATGCCTACTACAGGAGATGGTCAGGGACTGCAGACCTGATACAGGGGATGGTCAGAGACTGCAGACCTGATACAGGAGATGGTCAGAGACTGCAGACCTGATACAGGAGATGGTCAGAGACTGCAGACATGATACAGGAGATGGCCAGAGACTGCAGACATGATACAGGAGATGGCCCGAGACTGCAGACATGATACAGGAGATGGTCAGAGACTGTAGTCATGATACAAGAGATGGTCAGAGACTGCAGACATGATACAGGAGATGGTCAGAGACTGCAGTCATGATACAAGAGAGATGGTCAGAGACTGCAGACTTGATACAGGAGATGGTCAGAGACTGCAGACATGATACAGGAGATGGTCAGACACTGCAGACATGATACAGTAGATGGTCAGAGACTGCAGACATGATACAGTAGATGGTCAGAGACTGCAGTCATGATACAGGAGATGGTCAGAGACTGCAGACTTGATACAGGTGATGGTCAGAGACTGCAGACATGATACAGGAGATGGTCAGACACTGCAGACATGATACAGTAGATGGTCAGACTGCAGACCTGATACAGTAGATGGTCAGAGACTGCAGACCTGATACAGTAGATGGTCAGAGACTGCAGACACGATACAGTAGATGGTCAGGGACTGCAGATATGATATAGGAGATGGTCAGGACTGCAGACACTTTTCCATCTCTCTCCCAGAGGGGGCAGCATCCAAGACCTTGACAAGGCTCACCCACGATTTGCCTTCATCGGCCACATACCTTCATGAAGGATTACACATCCCAAATCACCTCCAGGGATACCAGACTGCACACTAGCAGTGGTGTATTTAGTTCTAGGCAACACTAAAAATTGGGCGCCCTCTTCCCACCAGCACCCCCATCCGGCTCTACCACTCTCCGCCAACCATACCCACCCTGGGCCTTGCCTCTGCCACTCTACGCCAACCACCCTGCCCCCCTGGGTCCCACCGCTGCCACTCTATGCCAACCACCAATGCCCCCCGGGCCAGCCTCAGCCACTCTGCGCCAACCACCACTGCAACCCTCCAACCACCCCCCACCACGCCCTCCACCCCCTCTATGCCAACCACCTCTGCCCCTCTGGATCCGCCTCTGCCACTCTACACCAACCACCCCTGCCCCCTTGGGCCTGCCTCCACTACTCTACTCCAACCACCCCTGCCTCCCGGGCCCGCCTCTGCCACTCTACACCAACCACCCCTGCCCCCTTGGGCCTGCCTCCACTACTCTACTCCAACCACCCCTGCCTCCCGGCCCGCCTCTGCCACTCTACACCAACCACCCCTGCCCCCTTGGGCCTGCCTCCACTACTCTACTCCAACCACCCCTGCCTCCCGGGCCCGCCTCTGCCACTCTACACCAACCACCCCTGCCCCCTTGGGCCTGCCTCCACTACTCTACTCCAACCCCACCCCTGCCTCCCGGGCCCACCTCCACCACTCTACGACAAACCAACCCTGCCCCCACTGGTCCTGCCACTCTCCACTAACCCACCTCCCACTCTCCCCGCCTCCTTGCGGTCACCCAAGCACTACTAAGCCCACAACAGTACAATCAGTCTGTAGATGCAGTAAAGCATGCTTGTTATACACACTGTGGAACCTAAGGGGTTAATCCTCTGCACTGTGTAAAAATTATATTTGGCCCTGTCTTCTCTGATCCTCCCCTTCCTCCAGTGTCCCTCTCTTATTTTCTGATAAGACATATCGAGTGGAGACACTGCACATGCTAAGTTTGGTGTGTATTGCTAGAGGTTTTTTTTTCTTTCTTGGGAGAGTGCGTGTGATCAGCACAGGGTCAATCAGCACTGTCCAGACAGAGGTCAGGGGTTTTGCATCCTCCTAGAGCAAATTGAAAAATGAAAGCTTATTAGAAGTCACAAGACTGCTATATACTGCTGATGAGAAAAAGTATTTAGCAGTTTATATTTACTAAAATAATTGCATTTCCATGTTGTGTGTACTGAGGGAGACCAGATATAGTGAATGCGGGGTCCGGGGAGAGCGGATATAGTGAATGCAGGGTCCGGGGAGAGCGGATATAGTGAATGCAGGGTCCGGGGAGACCAGATATAGTGAATGCGGGGTCCGGGGAGACCAGATATAGTGAATGCGGGGTCCGGGGAGACCAGATATAGTGAATGCAGGGTCCGGGGAGAGCAGATATAGTGAATGCGGGGTCCAGGGAGAGCGGATATAGTGAATGTGGGGTCCAGGGAGAGCGGATATAGTGAATGCGGGGTCCGGGGAGAGCGGATATAGTAAATGCGGGGTCCGGGGAGACCAGATATAGTGAATGCGGGGTCCAGGGAGACCAGATATAGTGAATGCGGGGTCCGGGGAGACCAGATATAGTGAATGCGGGGTCCGGGGAGAGCGGATATAGTGAATGCGGGGTCCGGGGAGACCAGATATAGTGAATGCGGGGTCCGGGGAGACCAGATATAGTGAATGCGGGGTCCGGGGAGACCGGATATAGTGAATGCAGGGTCCGGGGAGATCGGATATAGTGAATGCGGGGTCCGGGGAGACCAGATATAGTGAATGCGGGGTCCGGGGAGACCAGATATAGTGAATGCAGGGTCCGGGGAGAGCCGATATAGTGAATGCGGGGTCCAGGGAGAGCGGATATAGTGAATGCGGGGTCCAGGGAGAGCGGATATAGTGAATGCGGGGTCCGGGGAGAGCGGATATAGTGAATGCGGGGGGTCCGGGGAGACCAGATATAGTGAATGCGGGGTCCGGGGAGAGCGGATATAGTGAATGCGGGGTCCGGGGAGACCGGATATAGTGAATGCAGGGTCCGGGGAGACCGGATATAGTGAATGCAGGGTCCTGGGTTTAGTAACACTTTAACCTCAGCAGCGTGCAGCCTCCTCTGATTCCATAGTGGAACCTCACCAGGTCCTCATCCCTGCCACGTGTTTCTCTTGTTTCGGTGGGTGACGCCGGCTCCCTGAAAACTGCTGCCCTAGGCAAACACCTTGTTTGCCTCTCTGTAAATATGCCGCTGCACATTAGTCCAGGACTGTCACACACACACTCATTGGATTCCTTCCAATTTTTGGCTCTTAGGATTCAGCTAACCAGGGACAAAGGCTATGCACTCCATTATACAGTAAAGGAAATGTGTATTTGCTCCCCGGCTGATTTTGAGTGTTTGCCCGCTCACAAAGAAATGATCGGTCTAACAATGGAATGTTCGGTGTATTGTACCACTGAGGGACAGGATAGCAACAAATTCAGCAGAAAGGTGTCTAACAAATGATGACTGATCTGCATGTTCATGAGGGAAATAAGTATTTGATCCCCTTCACAAAACATGACTTAGTACTTGGTGGCAAATCCCTTGTTGGCCATCACAGAGGTCAGATGTTTCCTGGAGTTGGCCCCCAGGTTCGCACACATCTCAGGAGGGATTTTGGCCACTCCTCTTGGCAGATCCTCTCCAAGTCATTAAGGTTTGGTGGCTGACATTTGGCAACTCGAACTTTCAGCTCCCTCCACAGATTTTCAATCAGATTAAGGTCTGGTGACTGGCTAGGCCACTCCAGGACCTTAATGTGCTTCTTCTTGAGCCATTCCTTTGTTGCCTTGGCCGTGTGTTTTGGGTCATTGTCATGCTGGAACACCCATCCACCACCCATTTTCATTGCCCTGGCTGAGGGAAGAAGGTTCTCACCCAAGATTTGATGGTACATTGCCCCGTCCATCGTCCCTTTGATGCGATGCAGATGTCCTGTCCCCTTAGCAGAAAAACACCCCCAAAGCAGAATGTTTCCACCACCATGTTTCACAGTTGGGATGGTGTTCTTGGGGTCATAGGCAGCATTCCTCGTCCACCAAACATGGCAAGTTGAGTTGATGCCAAAGAGCTGGATTTTAGTCTCCTCTGACCACAACACTTCCCACCAGTCCTCCTCTGCATCATCCAGATGTTCAGTGGCAAACTTCAGATGGGCCTGGACATGTGCTTTCTTGAGCAGAGGGACCTTGCGGCACTGCAGGATTTCAGTCCTTGTCGGCGTAGTGTGTTACCAATTGTTTTCTTGGTGACTGTGGTCCCAGCTGCCTGGAGATCATTGACAAGATCCTCACGTGTAGTTCTGGGATGATTCCTCACTGTTCTCATGATCACTGACACTCCACGAGGTGAGATCTTGCATGGTGCACCAGACCTAGGGAGACTGACACTTGTTTTGTGTTTCTTCCATTTGCGAATGATTGCACCAACTGTTGTCACCTTCTCACCAAGCTGCTTGGCCATAGTTTGGTAGCCCAGTCCAGCCTTGTGTAGGTCTACAGTCTTGTCCCTGACATCCTTGGACAGCTCTTTGGTCTTTGCCATGGTGGAGAGTTTGGAATCTGATGGTTTGATTGCTCCTGTGGACAGGTGTCTTTTATACAGGTAACACAATGAGATTAGCAGCACTCCCTTTAAGAGACTGCTTCTAATCTCAGCTTGTTACCTGTATGAAAGACACCTGGGAGCCAGAAATCTTGCTGAATGATAGGGAATCAAATCCTTATTTCCCTCATGAACATGCAGATCCGTCATCATTTGTTAGACGCATTTCTGCTGAATTTGTTGTTGTATTCTGTCTCTCAGTGTTACACCGAACATTCGATTGTTAGACCGATCATTTCTTTGTGAGGGGCGAACATTCAACATCAGCCGGGGAGCAAATACACATTTCCTTCACTGTAGGTAGCTCCTTTTTTGGGGGGGGGGGGGATTTTTTTTCAACCAAATAATTGCAGTTCACAAACTTAACAAATCCCACACCTTGGGCCTAGCTGGAAACCCTTGCCGGTTGTCTCAGTAGAACCCTTGCCCTTATCAACAAGACAGATGGGCAGAGAATGGGGCAAACTTAAAAAAAACAAAAAAAAACGGAAAAACATGTATCAAAATCCTGCAGGTGCAGAATCTGGAAAAAGGAAGAAAAAAGAACAATGTGAAAGGCAAAGAGGAATTTGATCCAATGTGTTTGTCTCCCACGGTCTACAGTCAAGTTCAACATCCTCAGGTGTGTAGATATATCCAAAAGTTAAAGCACTGCAATCTATATAGGAGGTACCCACATGGTGGAAGAAAAATATATTTTAAATATATTTTTTAAATATTCATCCGAAATATATTGACATATATTTGAAATACTACAATTTTGGCCATATTCAATATATATATATATATTTGTATGTTGAAATGCGTTTTTTATATATTACAAAACATTTTGTAAAAATACATTTTCAAATATACTGTTTGTCTTTAAAAATACATTTAATCTACATTTTTGGAATGCATTTACAAATATATGTTAAAATTACTTTTTTATATGTTAAAAAAAATCTGAAGAATACATTTTAAAAATATCTGAATTTTTTTTTTAATTATATATTTTGTAATATATAAAAAACGCATTTCAACATTGGTTGTGTGTGTGTATATATATATATATATATATATATACATACACACACATACTGTATATATATATACAGTTGCAAGAAAAAGTATGTGAACCCCTTGGGATTACGTGGCGTTTTGCATGAATTGGGCATAAAATGTGCTCTGAACGTCATCTAAGTCACAACAATAGAAGAACACAGTCTGCTGAACATAATACTACACAAACATTAGAAGTTGCCATGGTTTAATTGCACATAACATGTAAACATTCACAGTGCAGGGAGGAAAAAGTATGTGAACCTTTGGACTTAATAACTGGTTGACCCTCCTTTGGCAGCAATAACCTCAACCAAACGTTTCCTGTAGTTTCAGATCAGACCTGCACAACGATCTGGAGTCATTTTGGACCACTCCTCTTCACAAAACTGTTTCAGTGTAGCAATATTCTTGGGATGTCTGGTGTGAATCGCTCTCTTAAGGTCATGCCACAGCATTTCAATTGGGTTGAGGTCAGGACTCTGATTGGGCCACTCCAGAAGGCGTATTCTGTGCTGTTGCAGCCATTGTTTTGTTGAATTACTTGTATGCTTTAGGTCATTGTCCTGTTGCATCACCCATCCTCTGCGGAGCTTCAGCTGGCGGACAGATGGTCGTACGTTTTCCTGCAAAATGTCTTGATAAACTCTGGAATTCATTTTTCCCATCAATGACAACAATCCGTCCAGGCCCTGAGGCAGCAAAGCAGCCCCAAACCATGATGCTCCCTCCGCCATGTTTCACAGTGGGGATGAGGTTTGGATGTTGGTGTGCTGTGCCTTTTTTTCTCCACACATAGTGTTGTGTGTTCTTCCCAAACAACTCCATCTTGGTTTCATCTGTCCACAGTTTATTTTGCCAGTAGTGCTGTGGAACATCCAGGTGCTCTTTTGCAAACTTCAAACGTGCTGCAATATTCTTTTTGGACAGCAATGGCTTCCTCCGTGGTTGTCCTCCCATGTACTCCATTCTTGTTTAATGTTTTCCTTATTGTAGACGTGTCAACAAAAATGTTAGCATGTGCCAGAGATTTCTGTAGGTCTTTAGCTGACACTCTGGGATTCTTCTTTACCTCATGCAGCATTCTGCGCTGTGCTCTTGCAGTCATTTTTACAGGACGACCATGCCTAGGGAGAGTAGCAACAGTGCTAAACTTTCTCCATTTGTAGACAGTCTGTCTTACCGTGGACACATGAACATCAAGGCTTTTGGAGATACTTTTGTAACCCTTTCCAGCTTCATGCAAGTCAACAATTCTTGATCGTAGGTCTTCTGAGAGCTCTTTTCTGCGAGGCATGGTTCACATCAGACAGTGCTTCTTGAAACCAGTAAACCCAAAACAGGTGTGTGTTTTTTAAGGGCAGGACAGCTGTCAGCAACACATCCAATATCATCACACTGATTGGAGTCAAGGTTGGCTCATTCCTGGCTCCAATTAGCTCTGGGAGAAGTCATTAAGCTAGGGCCTCACATACTTTTTCCTCCCTGCACTGTGAATGTTTACATGTTATGTGCAATTAAACCATGGCAACATCTAATGTTTGTGTAGTATTATGTTCAGCAGACTGTGTTCTTCTATTGTTGTGACTTAGATGACGTTCAGAGCACATTTTATGCCCAATTCATGCAAAACTCCACGTAATCCCAAGGGGTTCACATACTTTTTCTTGCAACTGTATATATATAAAACTACGACCAGAATTGTAGTATTTCAAATATATGTCAATTTATTTGGGAAGAATATTTTTAAAATATATTTCTCTTCCATGTGGGTATCTGATGTGTCCTTTATTTATTGATTTATTTCAGGTACTTATAAAGCGCCATCAATTTACGCAGCGCTTTACATATATATTGTACATTCACATCAGTCCCTAACCCTCAAGGGGCGTACAATCTAAGGTCCCTAACCCTCAAGGGGCGTACAATCTAAGGTCCCTAACCCTCAAGGGGCGTACAATCTAAGGTCCCTAATCCTCAAGGGGTGTACAATCTAAGGTCCCTGACCCTCAAGGGGCGTACAATCTAAGGTCCCTAACTTACATTCATACATACACATACTAGGGACAGTTTATTACCCATCATAGATTTGATCATAGTCTCATAGGGGTGTAATTACTAAAACTGGGGAGTGCAAACATTAGGCTCATGTCTGCATAGAAACCAGTCAGCTTCCAGGTTTTATTGCCAAAGCTTCATTGAACAAACTGAAGTTAGAAGTTGATTGGTTTCTATCTAAGCACTGTCTCTTGGTTCCACCCCCTACCCACTTCCAAGAACCGTCTCTTGGTTCTACCCCCTACCCACCTCCAAGCACCGTCTCTTAGTTCCACCCCCTACCCACCTCCAAGCACCATCTCTTGGTTCCACCCACTACCCACCTCCAAGCACCGTCTCTAGGTTCCACCCCCTACCCACCTCCAAGCACCATCTTTTGGATTCACACCCTACCCACCTCCAAGCACCATCTCTTGGTTCTACCCACTAGCCACCTCCAAGAACCGTCTCTTAGTTCCACCCCCTACCCACCTCCAAGCACTGTCGTTTGGTTGCACCCACTACCTACCTCCAAGCACCGTCTCTTAGTTCCACCCCCTACCCACCTCCAAGCACCGTCTCTTGGTTCCACCCCCTACCCACCTCCAAGCACCATCTTTTGGTTCCACCCACTACCCACCTCCAAGCACCGTCTCTTAGTTTCACCCCCTACCCACCTCCAAGCACCGTCTCTTGGTTCCACCCCCTACCCACCTCCAAGCACCATCTTTTGGATCCACACCCTACCCACCTCCAAGCATCATCTCTTAGTTCCACCCACTAGCCACCTCCAAGAACCGACTCTTGGTTCCACCCCTACCCACCTCCAAGCACCGTCTCTTAGTTCCACCCCCTACCCACCTCCAAGCACTGTCTTTTGGTTGCACCCACTACCTACCTCCAAGCACCGTCTCTTAGTTCCACCCCCTACCCACCTCCAAGCATAGTCTCTTGGTTCCACCCCCTACCCACCTCCAAGCACCGTCTCTTGGTTCCACCCCCTACCCACCTCCAAGCATAGTCTCTTGGTTCCACCCCCTACCCACCTCTAAGCACCATCTTTTGATTCCACCCCCTACCCACCTCCAAGCACCGTCTCTTGGTTCCACCCCTCACCCACCTCTAAGCACCATCTTTTGGTTCCACCCCCTACTCCGCTTGTTTTTTTTAGTTTGTAAGCTCCATGAGCAGGGCCCTATTCCTTCTATATTAAACTGTATTGTAATTGTACTGCCCCCCTTCCCCCTTTATATTGTAAAGCGCTGTGCAAACTGTTGGCGTTCTATAAACCCTGTAAAATAATTATTATTTTGTGGCACTAAGTAATTTGTATGAAATTTTATATTGATAACAAGCAATGCAGTAAAAATAAGGCCCCCGCATCCATCGGCAATAGTTCCCCCATCAGCAACAATAGACCCCCCCATCAGCAACACTAGATCCCCCAGCAACTATGGACCCCCACAACAAAACACCACCCCAGCAACTGTAGACACCGAGCAGCAACAACAGATCTCCCAGCAGCCAGCAACAATTCAGAAATTCCCCTCCAACAACCCTTTTCTCTTCTGTTTTTGCAGCATATAGTGTCCATTTTTGTTAGTCAGGACAGACAAAAGAGAATATTTTCAGAGCTCAATAGCTCAAGCTGAAATTTACACATTCAAACTGAATGAGTTGCTACCCTCTTAACATTCAGTCCGTTTCAAATGTAAAAATGAAAGAAGTGTGTAGCAGTTTTCTATATACTGCTTTTATCAGAGCTGAAAAATAAAGATAAATGCAAAGCTCAATAGTTAAAGCCAAAATATACACACAAATAAATGAGTCAGAGCAGTGATTCCCCCCACCTCCCTGCACACAGCAGCATCTTCAATCAGAGACAGGGCGTCTAAAAGGAAACAACCTCTGCTGTAACCCACAGTGCTCTGGGAATCCTTTTAAAAAAAGCAGATAGAAATCGGTTTAAATATTGATACATGCAAAAATAAAAAAAAATGAACCCAAAATCCATTATAGTTTCTTCCTTTTAAAACCCAATTTTAGGATCAAAGTAATGCAGCCACCATGTTTTAGGACTGGTAATGTTAAATACTGTATTTTTCGCTCCATAAGACGCACATAGGTTTTAGAGGAGAAAAACAAGAAAAAAAATATTCTGAACCAATGGACTGCAGACATAGCACTGGGGATGACCAGAGACTGTGAACACAGTACAGGAGATGACCAGAGACTGCGGACACAGTACAGGAGATGACCAGAGACTGCGGACAGTACAGGAGATGACCAGAGACTGCGGACAGTACAGGAGATGACCAGAGACTGCGGACATAGCACAGGAGATGACCAGAGACTGCGGACACAGTACAGGAGATGACCAGAGACTGCGGACATAGCACAGGAGATGACCAGAGACTGCGGACACAGTACAGGAGATGACCAAAGACTGCGGACACAGTACAGGAGATGACCAGAGACTGCGGACATAGTACAGGAGATGACCAAAGACTGCGGACACAGTACAGGAGATGACCAAAGACTGCGGACATAGTACTGGAGATGATCAGAGACTGCGGACAGTACATGGGGATGACCAGAGACTGCGGACACAGTACAGGAGATGACCAGAGACTGCAGACACAGTACAGGAGATGACCAGAGACTGCGGACACAGTACAGGAGATGACTAGAGACTGCAGACATACTACAGGAGATGACCAGATACTGCAGACATACTACAGGAGATGACCAGAGACTGCGGACACAGTACAGGAGATGACCAGAGACTGCGGACATAGTACAGGAGATGACCAGAGACTGCGGACACAGTACAGGAGATGACCAGAGACTGCGGACACAGTACAGGGGATGACCAGAGACTGCGGACATAGTAAAGGAGATGACCAGAGACTGCGGACACAGTACAGGAGATGACCAGAGACTGCGGACACAGTACAGGAGATGACCAGAGACTGCGGACACAGTACAGGAGATGACCAGAGACTGCAGACACACTACTGGAGATGACCAGAGACTGCGGACATAGTACAGGAGATGACCAGAGACTGCAGACATAGTACAGGAGATGACCAGAGACTGCGGACACAGTACAGGAGATGACCGGAGACTGCGGACACAGTACAGGAGATGACCAGAGACTGCGGACATAGTACAGGAGATAACCAGAGACTGCGGACACAGTACAGGAGATAACCAGAGACTGCAGACACAGTACAGGAGATGACAAGAGACTGCTGACACAGTACAGGTGATGACCAGAGACTGCGGACATAGTACAGGAGATGACCAGAGACTGCGGACACAGTACAGGAGATGACCAGAGACTGCGGACACAGCACAGGGGATGACCAGAGACTGCGGACATAGTACAGGAGATGACCAGAGACTGCGGGACACAGTACAGGAGATGACCAGAGACTGCGGACATAGTACAGGAGATGACCAGAGACTGCGGACATAGTACAGGAGATGACCAGAGACTGCGGACATAGTACAGGGGATGACCAGAGACTGCGGACACAGTACACACGACAGGTCCCAGAAGACGCCGGGCCATTCACAAAGCGCAGCGCTTCTCGCGCATGCGCAGTGGGCCCCCCGGCTGTCACAGATGCCGGCGCGGAAAGACTGCACAGCGCTGGACCGAGGAACAGGTAAGGTCCTGCATCAGAGAACAGCTGAGCGGCCGGCTCGATATTCTGACATGGTGGTGGTGGAAATACCGGACCGGCCGCTTTATATTCGCTCCATAAGACGCACTGACATTTTCCCTCCTTTTTTGGGGAGGAAAAAAATTGCGCCTTATGGAGCGAAAAAAACGGTATATGATATTATTGGGTTTAGATACATTATAACAAAGTTTTTTTTTTTTTTTTTTTTTTAAATGCTGGATCGGAAATTCCAAATGTTAAGCAGCCTACACCAAGGAGAAAGAAAGGGACTGCAGGAATGAGCAAGGATCCTCAAGTAAGTCAACTGATAAAAATATGACTATATACTGTGTGTGTATATATATATATACAGGGGCGGGCTGACCATTTGGAAACTCGGGCACTGCCCGAGGGCCTGGGGTCAGTAGGGGGCCCCATGAGATGCCCCTGGTACCTTTTTCATAGGCTTTTTTGAGTTTAAGCAAGGACACAGGGGCCCCATGATCCCCTATTGCCCGGGGGCCCCATGAGTTGTCAGTCCGCCCCTGTATATATATACACACATAGACCTACTGTTTTTTATTCAAGGTTTACGTTTTATTGCTCAAGCCCTGAAGAAGAGGGGGACATTTTCCCGAAAAGTGTTGGCTACTTCCAACATTCTTTGCCCCACTTGAGCCCTAATCCAGGCTTTTTAGGAGACTCCTTGATTCTTTCACAAACCATTGTTCAAGCCGTGGAGAAGGGGGAGTCCTTATCCCGAAACGTGTTGGCTACATCTGATGTTCTTGATCAATAAACGTTTTTAAAACCAATTCCCAGTGAACATTTGTACTTTAGTGCTCCCAATCACACACCCAAGCAATGATCATCTCAGGAAGTTGGAAGGTTCTTAGAACTGTTGTAGGAAAGGAAACTCCTTTCACAAACCATTGTACAAGCCCTGAAGAAGGGGGAGACTTTTTCCCCAAATCATGTTGGCTTCATCTTAAAATAATAAAACTGTGTGAGGTATATCACCATCAGGTGATAATATATGGTGATAAATTGTCCCAAAGGAAAAATGCGTGTCATGATCACAATCCACGTGTATGGGTGACTGATCCAAGGGTGCCAGATGAGGTGATTGAATAAGTAAAATGCGCACTCACCAGAAGTGCGCTAAAAACACACATTTGAGATATTATCCTGTCTCATCATGTGTAATCAGGTCATCTGCTCCTGGATTTGGTCAGGCTCCAAAACACCCTTAGGGTCCTTAGGCAGGTATCACAGCGTCTGGTCACGTCTGTGCTGGGTTTTCTGGGGTCCCTTAGTTTGTATCACCACGTTGGGTCGTCACTAAAGCGGGCACTGCAAATGACGGCGCTCACAAGGAGAGCCCAATGAAGGACACCACATAGTGTGATACTGTATAAAGGGGTAATATTTATTTCCACAGAAAGCAAGTTCTAGTAAAAAAACACTGACCAATAGTAATCAGGATGGCCACCAGCGGTGAGGTGTGACGTCTAGAATGCTGTAGCCCCCCCCCCCCCCGACGCATTTCGTGCAAAGCACTTAGTCATAGGGTGCGGGTTTACCTAGGTGCGGGCTCTCCTTGTGAGCGCCGTCATTTGCAGAGCCCGCTTTAGTGATGACCCAACGTGGTGATACAAACTAAGGGACCCCAGAAAACCCAGCACAGACGTGACCAGACGCTGTGATACCTGCCTAAGGACCCTAAGGGTGTTTTGGAGCCTGACCAAATCCAGGAGCAGTTGACCTGATTACACCTGATGAGACAGGATAATATCTCAAATGTGTGTTTTAGCGCACTTCTGGTGAGCGCGCATTTTACTTATTCAATCACCTCATCTGGCACCCTTGTATCAGTCACCCATACACGTGGATTGTGATCATGAGCAGTTGACCTGATTACACCTGATGAGACAAGATAATATCTCAAATGTGTGTTTTAGCGTACTTCTGGTGAGTGCGCATTTTACTTATTCAATCACCTCATCTGGCACCCTTGGATCAGTCACACCCATACACGTGGATTGTGATCTTGAAAGGATCCCCTTTGGGAAAATTTATTACCATATATTATCACCTGATGGTGATATACCCCACACAGTTTTATTATTTTAATATTTTATTCATACTGTATATTACCTTAGATGGATATGATGAAATACTAAAGATTTCTTTGCATTTTATTTTACTATATAGACTGTCTTGTCTTAGCGCTGCACCTTACTTTAATATTTATATTTGAGGGTGTTTTTTGGTGTACAAGCGGTGAAGTAGCGCTCGCTAATATTCTCTCAACATGTTGGCTTCATCTGATGTTCTTGATCAATAAACATTTTAAACAAATTTCCAGTGAACCTATGTACTAGGGCAGCATTATTAGGGGCCAGTTGTATTTGTAAGAATAGAAGTCCAGAGCACCCCCCCCTTCAGATGTCAAGAGCCCCCCTCCCCACCATCAGAAGTCAAGAGTCTCCCACTGTCCCTTACATCACAGTGCACCTCCTTACCTTGTGCTGCTGCCAGAAAGAAGCTGGGGAGGAGCTGGGAAGCAGAAATTGCCGGATCTGGAGGAGGACCACTGGAGGGCTGGAGTCAGCTGGCAAAGATGAGGGGGTGCTGCACAGAGAGGTGTAGGATCTGTAGGAGGAGTTCTGTCCTCCTCTCTGCTGCCGACTGCTGAGACGCAGGGAGCAGAAAACGAGACTCTCCACAGCTGCACGGAGATGTACAGGATTTGGTGGAGGAGTTCTGTCCTCCTGTATGCTGCCAACTGCTGAGACGGGGGGAGCAGAGACGAGACTCTCCACGGCTGCACAGAGAAAAAAAAAGGATCTGGTGAAGGGGTTTTGTCCCCTTGTATGCTGCCGACTGGTAAGACTAGCTAGGGGTGGAGACGGACAGGAGGTGCCACAGCTGCAGGAGAGGTGTGAGGGCCACAGGAAATGGCCTGGAGGGCCGGATTCAGCCCATGGGCCTTTTGTTTGACTTAGTCAACTTGTCTCTGCTGCTGATTGCTGAGACAGGGGGAGCAGAGACAAGACTCTACACAGCTTCACGGAGAAGTACAGGATCTGGTGGAGGGAGGGGGTGCCGCAGCTGCAGGAGAGGTGCGAGGGCCACATGAAAAGGCTTGGAGGGCCGGATTCAGCCCACGGTCCTTGTGTTTGACTTGGTCACCTAGTCTCTGCTGCTGACTGCTGAGACGGGGGGAGCACAGACAAGACTCTCAACAGCTGTATGGAGAAAAAAAGGATCTGGTGGAGGAGTTCTGTCCACTTGTATGCTGCCGACTGGTAAGACAATCTGGGGGTGGAGACGAGGGGGGGTGCGCCGCAGCTGTAGCAGAGGAGTGAGGGCCACTTGAAATGGCCTGAAGGGCCGAATTCAGCCCACGGTCCTTTTGTTTGACTTGGTCACCTAGTCTCTGCTACTGAGTGCTGAGACGGGGGAGTAGAGACGAGACTCTCAACAGCTGCATGGAGAAAAACAGGATCTGGTGGAGGAGTTCTGTCCACTTGTATGCTGCCGACTGGTAAGACAAAACTGGGGGTGCAGACGAGGGGGGTGCTGCAGCTGCAGGAGAAGTTCGAGGGCAACATGAAAAGGTCTGGAGGGCCGGATTCAGCCCACGGGCCTTTTGTTTGACTTGGTCACCTAGTCTCTGCTGCTGAATGCTGAGACGGGGGAGCACAGACAAGACTCTCAACAGCTGCATGGAGAATAACAGGATCTGGTGGAGGAGTTCTGTCCACTTGTATGCTGCCGACTGGTAAGACAATCTGGGGGTGGAGACGAGGGGGGGTGCCGCAGCTGCAGGAGAAGTTTGAGGGCAACATGAAAAGGTCTGGAGGGCCGAAGTCAGCCCACAAGCCTTGTATTTGACGCCTAAGTACTAGGTTCTCCTAACTACACATACAGGTAACAAACGTCTCAATGTTGGAAGTAGGGGCGGACTGACAACTCATGGGGCCACCAGACAATAGGGGATCATGGGGCCCCTGTGTCCTTGCCCAAACTCAAAAAAGCCTATGAAAAAGGTACCAGGGGCATCTCATGGGGCCCCCCTACTGACCCCAGGCCCTCGGGCAGTGCCGAGTTTCCAAATGGTCAGTCCGCCCCTGGTTGGAAGGTATGGCTATTCTGTTGCTGGTATCAACAGGATTGTAAAAGAGAACACTCAGTTGCTCCTTCAGTGCCCCTCCCTCACTAGTTGATATGCCGTAGAATCTGGCTCACCAGCGAAGGAACAGTGGTGGGCCAACACTTCGCTGGTTTGGCCAACAAGGGAAGAAACATCAACAGTGTGACAGCTTTCATGGGGGCCTAACCATCTGATCTCTTCTCCCTAAAGAAATGAAATGCAACCAAAAAATAAAAAACTGAGAAAAAAAATGTTTTTCTGTTTCAGGCAACAGAACCTCAAGAGTCCCAATCCAACGAAACCCTCGCCAACACTTTATACAGCACAGTTCAGCATGTGAAGGCAAGTTGAAATTAAAAAAAAAAAAAAAAAAAAGATAAAAATAAAATGCTATGGAGTGCAGAAAAATTTAACCCAAGAACAAAAATGTTATTAAGTGCAGCGTATCAGTCCTAAGTTGTGGTGGCTGCATTAGTTTTTTTTTGTCTTTTTTCTCACCTGACGATTCTGCCAGTAACACACAGTGACAACGCTCAACTACTGCATTGTATCTATGGAGGAGAAGTGTTGTCACCTTGTCTCCTCATGTCCATACCATAGAGGGGAGACATTCTGTGGTCCACAGAGACAGCAAGGAACAATGTAACTAGGATTTATGGCAGGATCAACAGGTATTTTTTTTTAAACAGGAAACGCTTTCAATTGCACCACAAAAGGAGCAAATAAGAGAAGTTAATTGTTTGGGTTTCCATCCATTTTAGGTGATATAGGCTGCAAACCACAAGCAGCACATAAAATTTAGTTTGCCACGATGGATGCCATAACAGCTCCCTAGAGTTCCCCACCCCTTCTTTCACATTAAATTTACATAGAAGAATGCAGAAATTTCCCCTTTCACATCCTTTTTTCTCACTAGTATGAAAATTACATTTCTTTTTTTTTTTCCAACTTCTCAGTCATCAAACCATACCAGATTGTTGTAGAATGTATGGCAGGTTGCCAAGAGGCTTGTTGATCAGTTACTTCTCCATTAATTAAATATCTAGTAAACCAGTGCTCAAAGAAGAAGGTTCCCTTAACCAACCATTGCTCATATAAATTCTTTGTTACCCCCCTCATTTTCCCCACCAGGGCTAGGGGCTCTCCCATGTATTCATATGACAATGCTCGAGCCTGGCGATTTGCTTCTGAGGCACCACAATGATTCATCATGGAAGAGGAAATAGAGAATCACATGCCCAAATTTCATGACTTATATGTTTTTTGTTTTTCAGCTTTTCAGCTCTCGGTGTTGCCAATGGGGAGATTCAATATCTTTACTTGTCCTGGTGACCAGGGGCGGACTGATCATTTGGAAACTCGGGCACTGCCCGAGGGCCTGGGGTCAGTAGGGGGCCCCATGAGATGCTCCTGGTACCTTTTTCATAGGCTTTTTTGAGTTTGGGCAAGGACACAGGGGCCCCATGTTCTCCTATTGCCCGGGGGCCCCATGAGTTGTCAGTCCGCCCCTGCTGGTGACCATTATTATAAGCATAGAAACTGATGGCGAAGTCAACATTTTCGAGCTACCACCAGAGCACAAGTAGAGGGGAAATCTTCCAATGGGGACACCTGTCTCATTTTAGAGAGATTTCCTCTATACTTTCGGTTGCATCCCTGGGATTGGAAGTGAAAGGAAATCTCCCTGAGAGGGACTGGAAAAGAAAACTGATAGGGATTCTAAAGATTCTCTACTCTATCCTAAACCAAATGTATTGAGCAGAGACAAGAAACTTCATCCAAAACATTTTTTTTTTGCAGTCTTTGAGTAAAAAAAGTGTTAATCCCCATATTTTTTTACATGTCTAACAAGCTTTTGAGTGCAGTGGAGGAAGAACAGCAAAGGTTATAAATAGGGCTCCTGTACTGGGGCTGGGGGGCCCTGCCATGCCATATCCAATGGTGTCTCCATTGCCATCACCTTGGGAAGCTAAATTGTTTCTCCTGTAAGATATGGGACATACTGTGTAAGGGGATAGTAAGAGTAGGTGTACACTGTTTATGAGGTCTTTATGGTAGGATGGTAGGAGATAATGAGGGGGGTCAAGGGGACACAGGGATGAGGCAACGCTCCTGAGGAGCCCTAACATGCCATATCCAATGGTGTCTCCATTACTATCACCTTGGGAAAGCTAAATTGTTCTTCTGCAGGAGGGGGGGTTGTACATACTGGGGCTGGGGGGACCCTGCCATGCCATATCCAATGGTATCTCCATTGCCATCACCTTGGGGGGCTGGGAGCTAAATTGTTTCTCCTGTAGGATATGGGACATGCTGTGTAAGGGGATTGTAAGAGTAGGTGTAGACTGTTTATGAGGTCTTTGTTGTAGGATGGTAGGAGATAATGAGGGGGGTCAAGGGGACACAGGGATGAGGCCACGCTCCTAGGGAGCCCTAACATGCCATTTCCAATGGTGTCTCCATTACCATCACCTTGGGAAAACTAAATTGTTCTTCTGCAGGAGGGGGGGGGGGGTGGATATACTGGGGCTGGGAGGACCCTGCCATGCCATATCTAATGATGTCTCCATTGCCATCACCTTGGGGAAGCTAAATTGTTTCTCTTGTAGGATATGGGACATACTGTGTAAGGGGATTGTAAGAGTAGGTGTAGACTTTTTATGAGGTCTTTGTGGTAGGATGGTAGGAGATAATGAAGGGGGTCAAGGGGACACAGGGATGAGGCCACACTCCTGGGGAGCCCTAACATGCCATATCCAATGGTGTCTCCATTACCATCACCTTGGGAAAGCTAAATTGTTCTTCTGCAGGAGCGGGGGACATACTGGGGCTGGGGGGACCCTGCCATGCCATATCCAATGGTGTCTCCATTGCCATCACCTTGGGGAAGCTAAATTGTTTCTCCTGTAGGATATGGGACATACTGTGTAAGGGGATTGTAAGAGTAGGTGTAGACTGTTTATGAGGTCTTTATGGTAGGATGGTAGGAGATAATGAAGGGGGTGAAGGGGACACAGGGATGAGGCCATGCTCCTGGGGAGCCCTAACATGTCATATCCAATGGTGTCTCCATTACCATCACCTTGGGAAAGCTAAATTGTTCTTCTGCAGGAGGGGGAACATACTGGGGCTGGGGGGACCCTGCCATGCCATATCCAATGGCGTCTCCATTACTATCACCTTGGGAAAGCTAAATTGTTCTTCTGCAGGAGGGGGGACATACTGGGGCTGGGGGGACCCTGCCATGCCATATCCAATGGTGTCTCCATTGCCATCACCTTGGGGAAGCTAAATTGTTTCTCCTGTAGGATATGGGACATACTGTGTAAGGGGATTGTAAGAGTAGGTGTAGACTGTTTATGAGGTCTTTATGGTAGGATGGTAGGAGATAATGAGGGGGGTCAAGGGGACACAGGGATGAGGCCACGCTCCTGAGGAGCCCTAAGATGCCATATCCAATGGTGTTTCCATTACCATCACCTTGGGAAAGCTAAATTGTTCTGATGCAGGAGGGGGGACATACTGGGGCTGGGGGGACCCTGCCATGCCATATCCAATGGTGTCTCCATTGCCATCACCTTGTGGAAGCTAAATTGTTTCTCCTGTAGGATATGGGACATACTGTGTAAGGGGATTGTAAGAGTAGGTGTAGACTGTTTATGAGGTCTTTGTGGTAGGATGGTAGGAGATAATGAGGGGGGTCAAGGGGACACAGGGATGAGGCCACGCTCCTGGGGAGCCCTAACATGCCATATCCAATGGTGTCTCTATTACCATCACCTTGGGAAAGCTAAATCGTTCTTCTGCAGGAGGGGGGACATACTGGGCCTGGGGGGACCCTGCCATGCCATATCCACTGACGTCTCCATTGCCATCACCTTGGGAAAGCTAAATTGTTTCTTCTGCAAGAGGGGGGACATACTGTGTGAAAGGGATTGTATGAGTTAGGTGTTGAGTGTTTTTGAGGTATTTTTTTGTAGGAGATAATGAAAAAGGTCAAGGGGGCACAGGGATGAGACCAAACTCATGGGGTGCCCTAGCATGCCATATCCAATGGCTTCTCCATTGCCATCACCTTGTGGAAGCTAAATTGTTTCTCCTGTGGGATAGGGGACATACTGTGTAAGAGGATTGTAAGAGTAGGTGTAGAGTGTTTATGAGGTATTTTTGGTAGGAGATAATGAAGGGGGTCAAAGGGACACGGGGATAAGGCCACGCTCCTGGGGAGCCTTGCCATGCCATATCCAATGGTGTCTCCATTACCATCACCTTGGAGAAGCTAAATTGTTTCTCTTGTAGGAGGGAGGACATAGTGTATAAAGGGATTCTAAGAGTTAGGTGTAAAGTATTTTTGAGGTATTTTTTGTAGGAGATAATGAAGGAGGTCAAGGGGGAACAGGTATAGGGCCAAACTCCTGGGGGGCTCAGGCATGCCATATCTAATGGGGTCTCCAATGCAATCACCTTGAGCAAGCTAAATTTTTTTTCTCCTGTAAAAGGGGGGGCATACTGTGTAATGAGATTGCAGGAGTTAGGTGTAGAGTGTTTAAGAAGACTTTTTGGTAGGAGATAATGAAGTGAGTCAAGGTGGCACAGGGATGAGGCCATGCTCCTGGGTGGGGGACCATGCCATATTCAATGGTGTCTCCATTACCATCACCTTGGGGACGTTAAGTTGACGCTAAGGGGGGCACATATTGTGTATAGGGATTGTAAAAGTAGGTGTAGAGTATTTTTGAGGCCTTTTTGGTAGGAGATAATGAAGGCATTCAAGGAGACACAGGGATGGGGCCAAGCTATATCAATCTTCACCAAGGGGTCCCAGCCAATGTACATGATAACAAGCTTACTCAACACCCTTTTAATACCTATGCTGATAAAAAAAAAAATGTTTACCCATCAGCAGGACCCAAATACAACAAGACATATGTTTTTTTACTACCATAGGGTATTGTGCCTGTGTTTTCTCCTTCTGGAACATCATGGTCATTATAAACACATTAGTTGCGAGCAGAGCAGACAGTTCCTATTGCTGAAACTGGTTCAAAACTATTCAGCTATGATGTTTTATGGATGATAAGCCACCCAGACAGAGCAGAGCAGACAGTTCCTATTGCTTAAACTGGGTTAAAACTATTCAGCTATGATGTTCTATGGATGATAAGCCACCCACACAGCAGCTAACATCCTTATCTCTTCCTATGTAGCCGGCATTTGGAGTCATTGGGACATCACACTTATTTTTTGCTGTTATAATAGGGTAAACGTCTAAAATATTGGTGGTTTATGTCATGCGTCCATTGAAGAAATATGTTGTGGTGTAATTCTTTAGCTAAAAACTG